CTGTTAGATACACTTACATCATCAGCTAGTTGAGAGAGAGCACCAGGGTAGTTTCCCTGTGCAGCATACAGCAATCCCAAGTTTCTGAAAAGCTTTGATTTGATGCTGTCTGGACACTCAGGAGTCTTAAGCACTGTCCACTGGGCCTGAGCTAAATACTCCTCTGCTTGAGATAATCGACTAAGACCTACAAAGAGATTAAAACACATGTAGAATATTATCATGTAGAATATTGACTTGCTAAAACTGCAACTACACTGTAAAGTTACAAACTAAGGAATGTTTCACCATGTAAGTCCTCTGTAACTCAGTGTCTGAGCATTTCAAGCAAATCCAAAGGTCTCAGATTTGATTCCTAATGAGGTACTCAGATTTCGCTTTATTCAAAGCTAACAAGATCAGGCTTTATTCAAAGCTAACAAGGTGTTACTCAAAATGAGTAACACCTTGCTTTATTTTCACCAACAATACTTTACCATCGATTCTTCCTATATTATTTACTCGCACTGTTCTTTGCAAACAAGCACAATATTATTGTACCCTTTAATACTATGATACTTAGAGGGATTGCTTTATGATCATGATCTCAAACTTCAAATTTTAACAAATGTTTGAGGAGTAGATTAGTTCTGCTTCATTAAACAGGATAGCTTTAATAACATTACTTTTGTACTGGAGGGCTATCACTATCCTGTATAAATACTTGTTATCATCTATCACAAACAATAGTCCTTTTTCAGGACTATTTTTAATCTACCATCTACCAATTAATTAACAATTAATTAACAATTATGACAGGAAGGACAATGCGTCCACTGTAAGTACCTCCCGTTGTCCCATACAAAGCGTTAGAACAGTTTTCTAAGGCTTTGTATGGGACAATGGAAGTTACTAACAGTGCACGCATTGTCCGTCCTGTCATAAGGAATTATTATTTACCAATTAAGGAACTTACCTATACTTGCCTCTCCAAGTATAAGGTAAGAAGGGACAAGCTCAATGCTACTCAGACCATAGACTTCAATAGAGAACTTTAAGGATTCCATTGCTGCAGGAACTACTCTGTCATATCTACCTTCAAAGAGCAACTTCTGTCCCTCTGTGCGGCATAATTCAATCATTTGTTTCTGTTAGAAAAGCAACCAACCACTTTGAACAAATACACATCACATAGCTATACATTATGTTATAACCCACTCATTAATTTTCATGCAACTACCTATACTGGATACCTCATGTCATGTGGTACAAAATCAGTGAATAGTTATCATGTACTAATGATTGCCATTTGCTTTGATATTTCTCCTCCAGTTATTTCCATCACCAAGAAACAACGCAAGTGGAAAAAAGTTTGCTCAAAAATTTCACTTTTTCATCTTAATAAATTTGCATGGAATAAAAATGAACCTGTTTTGTAGAGTCCAGTGATAAAGATATTAATAAGCTGGCTTTAAATGTTGCAATGAAAAGTACAAAAAAAGTCAACACAATTTGCTGTAAATGGGCAAAATGAAAACCAAGGGGCCCTTCTGGCCTGCTGCTATGTTGGCTGATAATATCCTAGGTTGAGGGTATGTCCTCACCTTTTCACAACATTTGCCCTTAATGCTTAGCTTCTCCACCAAATGGTAATTTCTCTCTCTCCGCTGACATTCTCAGCCAACATACCAGATGCCTGAAGGGGGTACGTTTATTCACCAATTACCTCATAAATGTAAAATAAATTTTGGCCAATTTTTTTTTTAATTTTCATTTTTTGCCCCTTTATTATTACAAACAAATTTTAAAAAGGAATAAATACCTGTCTGACTATTTGCTGCTGTTTTCTGTGCTGCCTTTCTTCTTCTGACCCAAGAAATGGAATGGGTGTTCGTAATGGAATTAGTAATTGACATATCTTCTCATGAATTCCCAGCCAATCAGTTTTCTGATGCTCGGGACCACTGAAAAAGTATGAGGTATACAAAACTGCTATTTTATTCAAATTTCTACATATAATGTTAACTTACTTATGTAGAAAGAAAAGACTTATTCATACAGGTTGAGTTAACAGGAACTCCTCAGGAATAGTTCATGTGAATAGCTGTAAGAATCTTGTGAACAAAATAAGAGGTAAAATTAATGCTGTGGCTTAAAATGGATTACAGGTCAAACCAAGTACATCAAAGTAGCTTACAATCGTTTTGACCTAAAATTAATTAAATCTTCATCATATTTTCCCGTGATATGATGCAAATAACCCAAAAAAAATTCAATTTTGCCTTCAAAGAATTTTGATTTTTTTCACAATTACTGCGGTATCAATGTTCTCACTACGATTTTCAAAAATTAACACCTGTTTAGTTCCTGAGTTAAACCCTCTTTCAATAATGAAATTAAAGAAACGATATGATGACCCGGCAAAGGACGATTCGCGATACGATTTTTCCAGGTAAGCTGCAATTAAGGTAAATGCAGAAAAGAAGCTTAGAAAACTTCAGGCTTTGACGAGACACCTAGCTACTATCTATAAAATTATGTTTCACTTAACAATCAAGAGAGTCTAATTTCCAGGGCAGAACCATTCATTTCAAACATAGTAAACATTTTAGAGCAGCACTACCTGAACGATTTGAACTTACCAATAATAAGTTACTCGGCAGTCCATACATTGAACAAATGCTGGCTTCTGACACAACTCACATAACAGTTTGACACCGTTTGGGTTTGCCAAAGGATTGATGGTATTCATTTCTTTCGCAGCCGACAAGCTTAAGGACAATCTCCTTTCAAGTCGTAAAAGTCAACTCTACTCCGACCGCCATATTGTTTCGAGGTGCAAAAAGCTTATAAGGTTGCTAAGCAACCTCCTTACCAACCTCCGTGTATGTCTGTGGGCTCAAATGCTGATTAGGGAATAAGACCAATAAGGCCAATAAGGCCAATAAGGCCAATAAGGCCAATGGAATATTAAAGAAAGAATGGAGCTTATTGCTAGGATTGATGGGTGTTAAGATTTTTTTTTACAGATGATGATTAACAGGAACATACTGCAAGCGATTGGGATAACGGGTAGGAAGGAACTGAAAAGCAGACTCCGTATAAAGTAGCCCCTTAGGTTGCCTGGCACATTTTCCCTAAGGAATCCTCATTGGGCGGAATGGGAGGGGAAGGGAGGGGAAGATAACAACAGTCCCCAACTCCGACGTTACTGCAAGAAAAGTGAGTTGGGATGTGGGTGCGTAAGTCATGGTTCTACATCTTGAACGTTTCATATACCAGAGAGGTTGATGACGACGTTGTTACTAACGGAAATCGGGAAAAATTGAACTTCTTGTCGTATTCTTTCAGCCGTTCGCACACAAGTGATAACATTTGAATTTCAACCGGTTTAAGAATTAAAAGAAAAGGGAGCAAAATCAAACCCTGTTTTTGCATTTAGCCATTGCTGTAAAACGTCTTAAATTTACTTCTTCCGCCTTCACGACCCGCTTAGGTAGACTGGTCCGTTACTGAACACAAAACATTTATGCAGGCAAAAAACTGATTTTCCAGAATTTTTATTGATTTTATGAACTTTTCTTTTTAATAAACTTAGCAATAAAGAAACCAATAGTATCTTCATTAGACTGAGATCGTTCTGTGTCCATAGCATTAACTTTAGTCGGATCAAACCGCTGTACCAATTGACATTCATCATCTGAGAGACCCCAGTTAGGAAGACCTGGTCCTCCTAGATGAGGTGTCTGTGGGAAAAAGATACAAAAAATCAACTACGAAAAAGATTACGAGCAGTCCTTCTTTCTCAGCAAAGTCCGTCGCGCGGGTCCAAAAAAAAAAGTGAAAAAATAAAAATTTTGTTAAGTGGGAGAGAGTTTGACTCCTGCGTTGTGCTCACAACGCACTTTTAGGATGCCTCACTCCCAGAGTCGGTTCGGTAAGGCGCGCGAATCAAAACTTGCTTCTATCTTTTTTTTTTCTTGCTGATTCTTCTTGGACTCGCGCGACGGACTTCAACGAAAGGAGGTAACTCAAGTTTTTTATTTTCAATTCGTGACCCACAATTTAACAAGACTAAAATGAGTTTCTGTTACATAAACCGGGGCTAAATAGTGCATCAGAGGTGCAATCCCTGATTGAATAACTGTTTTCAACTGAAGAATGGTACCTAACCTGTTTATCTAGTTTCACGCAAGGAAACGACTTCAGAGCCCAAGCAACTTGTTCCTCATTTTCTTGTGGAGTTATGGTACAAGTGGAGTAAACAAGAATTCCTTCCTCCTTTAATAACCCCACAGCCTACAAGAAAGCAAAAAACTGGCGTTAGCATAGGGAACAAAGTAAATAAAATCTTTTATTCGCTCGGCACGACTTTTAAATGGGCGTTAAGTCATAAAAGGTTTCCTTGCTCTTATCCAAAATGATCTCCTGAAATCACCTGCACTGGTAAGTTTGCAAAAGCATCCTTCGTCTCAACGAAAATAATGCAAAATACTCTTATCAACACAACAGTTAGGTGTAATCATCTTTTTTTCAACTTACAGTAGTAAAGAGTTTTCTTTGTAGCCTCGGATAGGACTGTAACTCTTTCAAAGTCATTCGGACAAAAAACTGAGGACGCTGACCTAAGGCACTGCAAGGCGCATCGAGAAGGATACGGTCGAATGTACCACACGGGTAGGGTGGAGACGCCGATAGTAAAGCTTAAGAGGAAGCGAAGAGAATTATTAATTTAAAGGCGATACTCATTCACGTGGAGGGTAATGGTGAAGTACACCTTAGTTGTTCTTGATTTTTCTTTTTTTAGTGCGCTCTGTGATTGGTTAAATAAACTCGAGCCACCCTCCCTACCAATCAGTCTTTTACTTTGAAATCTCATTGATAAACTATATTTCTCATTTTTCCCCTGAATTCCTGTGATTAGTCGTTGATTGGGTTTGTCAGATTACTTTTTTAGGAAATTTCTATCCAGACTTTCCTTTGTTACCAAAGAAAACAGTACATCTCAGATTAATGTTAATACAATATTGAGCACTTCGTTCCATTTCCAAAATTACAACCAATTGTCCGTAATTGACACTTTTTTAGAAAGCAAAATATACTTACTGTTTTCCCTATTACAGTGTTTCTCAGAGTCGAGAGACTTGACGCCATCAAATACAAAACTCTTTACACATTGAATACAGAGCTTTTCACAGTTTGCTCTCAGTTTGGCCACTTTTGGTTCGCTCTTGTCAAAAGCAATTACTACGCCCTGAGAAAAACAGAATTACGACATGAAGTTCTTTAAAATAGATCTTTAGCCAATTCAGAAAAGGGGTAAAAGAAGAAAAAGTATTGATAGTTAAATACCTATGATCCCAGGTTTCAATTCAGAAACATACGATGCTCTCAAATATGTCTAACTTAGAGGGATAAAGAATTGAAGTAGGAGGCAATGCATTTAGATTGAGGAATATTCAACCAGACGCATGTCTTAGAGGTTTTTTTCTTTTACTGTTTATCACTGACTTATCTATCTTTTATTTTAACAAATCCTATAAACGTAGAAGAGAGGAAAAACTGACGCTACACTTAATGACTAGAACATTCCTCTTAAGAAACACACCTCGTCTCTCATGAGAGAGGCCAAATGAGTGGTTTTTCCACCTAAAAAAAAAAAACAGATTTATGTTTTATTTCAAAAATAACTTATTGGCCCCATTGCTTCTCGATCTTTTTGTAAGGAATAGCCAAATTCACAACTATGGTACCAGAACAGCCAGTAATTATCGAACGCATTTGTGCCGTACAAATGCCAAGCAGTTTACAATTCTCTACCAAGGTCGGTCCTAAAATTTGGAACTCTCTTCCTATTTCAGTCACTCGTTCGTCAAACTTTCTCAGCTTTAAAACGAAATTGCAAGAGTTTTCACTTAAATAATCACTGAATTGGCCAAGCCGCACATTCGCAGCACTTTTTCTTTACTTAATTTATTATTGTGGGTGAGGTGGCTCTCCCATAAGCCTAGTGGCTTCTTGGGTCTCCTCGCCTTCTAACTGTTATCGCTGTAATTAACTACTTTTGATTGTTAAAATAAGGCAAGTAAAGATGATGATGATGACAGATGTAGTGTATTGTGAAAACACTTCATATATTCTAAAACAAATTGAATTATTTTCCCTTCAAATGACGTCTTTGTCTCTGTTTTTACAATAAAATTTTCTGTAATTGTATACAATGAACTAAATGTCAACAGAGGAGTGAGTTGGTAGCATCCTCCCAGTTGTTGGTTATGATTCTTGTATGTAAACACATATCTAAGAGGTGCAGAAAGCACACTTTTCTCGGGACCAATAGTTCAGGGTTCAACCCGAGCAGGAATACTGTTCTTTATAGTTCACCACTAAATTTTCTCCGATTCTTACTGGTTTAAATCGATCACGTGACGCGATAGTGTTCATCCGTGGAGAGACACTATCAGCCCATTGTGCCCGCCCGCGGAAAATACCCGGATGGATAGTGCCCGTCCGCGGAAAATACCTGGATTGATAGTACTCATCCGTGAAAAGTTTTGAATAGTTTGACGGCCGCGAAGTTAGGCAGATCGGAAAAATAGTGACTTTTTCAATTCTGACAGGTATAACGTATTATTTAGCCAATGTACGGTTGCGAATTATTGACATGCGCTGAGGAAAATTTAGTGGTAAACAATAAAAACAATAGAGTGTTTATGTCTCGGAACTATCGGTCTGATAGTTGACCCACGGAAACACTCTATTGTTTAAATAGTCTCCAGCGAGACACTTTAACCTCCCAATGCCTCTCTTCACTAACAGGTATTCATGGTAACTTTCTAGGAAACTTATCAAAAAAATATCAAGAGGGAGGTAGAAGGGTTAAGCATGTTAGATCGGTATTCCTTTCGGGGGGAGGGTAGCAAAAATCATATTACCCTCAAACTTAAGACACCAGGATTAGCCCTGGTAATGACTGGCCACCAAGCGTGTAAGATCTCACGACTTTTAAGTTAAAACTTAACCCATTTCCAAACTACAAGGAGGCAGAGGATTATCTGTTTACCTGGGGCAGCACACATGTCTAAAATGACATCACCAGGTTGAGGATCCAACACGTGACCAACCACTACAGATGGTAAGTTTTGAAGGAACAGCAGCTGAGGAAGAACTCCACCCAGTGATGGACATCTGAACAAAGGAGATGTCATATGAACCGCCACACCACTAGATAGAAAACAAACATGCACATCAACCACCTCCAAGGCTGACAGGCCTTTATGACTTAACTCCAACAGTTATAAGCTATTACTGCCTTAACCCCTCCCCAAATAAGTTGCACGTAGTATATGTGCCTCAATTACCTCTTCCTTTGCAAACCCTAAGAAAGAAATTCAAGCAGATACAAGGTACATTGTTGTAGAAAATCTCTTTCGTTTTTTAATTCTAAATTACAATTTTCCTCCTACTCTCTTCCCTTTGTATTCTTTTTGTATTTTTACAAATTAGCCGATCAAATTAGCCAATTGCGTCAAAGATTTTTAACCTTGACAACGAAAATTGACGTGGACATTTTTCTAGCATATCTTTTGTTGCTTGTTTCAATGGAGTTCGTTGTTTTATCTTGGCTTTTGAGTTTTCGTTCAAGCCAATTTGTTCTCCCTCTACTTGTTATCCCTCAACGAATTCACAAAGTCAGGTTTACCACAATAAGAATAATAGATCTCTACTTGCAGCTAAAAAAAAAGATTACCTCACATTTTCTTGGGAGCAGAAAATATCTTTTCTGGCAAGAACGGCAGTTCCGTTTCCTACAAACACCTTGTTACCATGGTATTGTTTGGTAAGACCTTTACGGCATTTCCCTTCCAGATCGGCATAAACCGAGACTGTGTCTCCACTCTCCATGGCTAAAAAAATCAATGTTAGATAAAGATAATCTGTTAAGTTTTCATGTCATAATGGTACCCACTAAAAAACCAGATACCGCTCTGTTTCTGCTACATCTCTGCTCATGTAGTGACACATTAGACTCAAATCGAGGAGAGGTTTAAGAGAATAAAAATCAAGAGGCATATAAGAAAGAACTTAAAATTAATATAAGTTAAAGGGTACATACAAGGCGGTCTGAGTAATAAGGCTGCCAGAGCTACCCAATATCTAATTCACGCCCTGAAGCCACCAGTTAGGAAAACTGTAACTCCTCTTAGATCAGCATTTACCGTAGTAATTCGATTTAGCGCCCTCGTTCAAATAAGTGCTCCCTCTCTGGTTAGAGCCCCCCTCGAATTTGCATAAACGACCTTAATTCAATAAGTGCTCCAATTCTGTTTATGTGATAGGACTGGTTGAGTACATTCCCTACTTTTATTATGCGAACATTCTCTGTATCATTTTTACCTTTAGAGTTTCTATCATTTATCCTTTTTAGATAAACATCAAAGCTTTGTTTCGGACATTAACATCCTGCTGTTTCTCAAAAAAAGAAATAAGCGCCCTGTCCCTAATAAGTGCCTCTGTTTCAAATAAGCACCTTCCCTAGAGGTACCATAAAGCGAAATAAATAAATAAATAAATAAATAAATAAGCGCTCCGGATGCTAAATCGAATCATTACGGTAAAATGGTTTCCCTGAGAAAGGTTGTAACCAAAGACAATATACACTAAAAACGTTTACCCGAATTAATCAAACAGAGTTTCCCGCCGGGTAAAGCTTACTAGACTGGAAGAAACCTTACCACTATAAATTTGCGAAATAGAGAACTTATAGGGGCTGCATCAGCACACAATGACTACAATATCTCAATTGCGCCTTCTTAGAACGTCGTGATTTAGAGATGAAATAAGGTGTAAAACCGATCAGATTGCAGCAAGGGATGGCGTGCTTTTGGATTCGTCGAGATTCGAAGAGTGACACAGTTTTGTATTGCAAAGTCATGTTTGTTTTAGCGTTCTACCAAACATTGTTGACATGATGGTGTTTTCTTGAAAGTTTTAGGTAACAAGTTTACTCACTAAAAAATCAGTTATCTAATTCTGCAGCTATCCTAGTGTCTATCGGCGTTTGCAGCGAAGTTTTTGGGAGTTACACGTTCGCGATCGTTCATCGAGCCTCCAATGTCCTTCTTTGCTCCCTCTCCAAAATCAAGAAAACCGTCAACATTTGTTATCTAAGATATGCAGTGTTTCGTTCGCCAAAAACGTGACACGTTGAATCTGTATTCATCTTGGTGTTTACTTTATATATCACCTCTTCCGGCTCAAAAGGGCCTGTTTAAAGGACCGACCGAAACCTTTCCCTCGTATTTTCTGGGAGACTTTTAGTAATTTGTCAGGGTAATTTCGAGTCAGGATAGTGCATTGAGATAAACTGATTAAACTTCTCAAAAGGGCCTGCTTTGTAGGACTAACCGAAACGTTTCCCTCGTTTGTTTTAAGAGACGTTTTGAAATTTGTCGACGTAATATAGAGTCTGGATCGTGCTTTGAGGTGAACTGATTAAACATTGCTTCTAAAAATCGCCAAAGAGCATCACCCCTCACTCCTGGGGCTAAGGAGGAGACGGTGACATGCGCGGGTATCCGGCAACCTTCTGATGTTGCACTTGACGACATTGAACTGGGCTCAACAATTTCCCTCAAGTCCATAAGTACAGGAGAGTACTTTTCTTTGCTTTCTCTTAAATCCTCATCGCGTATTCGCCCCAGAATAATGTTAATTTTCACTCGATGGTAAATCTACAGAGTAAAGATACACTTGAAATCATGGATGACTTTGTAGCTGTACTTTTTTAATGACAAAAACTAACGATATATATCACATCTTTAACGGCACGCGTGTATTGGTTCACACCTTTTAAGGTTCTCACCACCAATTTTTCCGAGCAATTTTCGATAGGAAGTGAACGTGTTCAAGAGACAGATGGACTTCCTTCAGGATGTACGCAACCACCTTAAAAATGGTCTTACAAAATCGTCAAATTCAGAAAGTATCCACCTGACTTGATTCAGCATCTGTTGTGCTTTGGGCCTATAAGTCGGACTACTTTTTTAAATCTAAACATACACAATGCCGTTTTAATACGCAAAGAAAGTACATCAACATGTAAATTTCATTTCGAAATTGGTTGGCGTTCGAGGGGTTTAGTGTTCCTGTTTTTCCGGAATTTTACACGAGAGAGTCGGAAGAGCTTGGCGGGTCCACGATAACTATGGAGCGCAAGACCGAAGATAAAACAGAAAAAGTTGTTGACGTTTCAAGTGACGTTAGCTGTAGCTAGATAAATGTTTTTACCAATCTCTGTGGTCTTTGTATTTCAGTAGTTACCACTAAGTCGAACTTGAGGTATCTCAGAAACATTTATTTTTATTTCAGTACCGTAAAGAGGAAGAAGAAGATGTCATTAAAAATTCGGATCCTGCTGAGGGAGGTGCGTACTTTTTTGTGCTGAATATGTTTGTTCTCGCATTGCAACCTATTATAACTCTTAACTTGCGTATGGCCAACGCTCAGAAAAAATACACAACCGTCGATGAAACAAAGCAAAATTATGATATTATGAAAAATTGTAGAAGCTTTTATTGATTTTAAACTTCCAACCATTTTAATAGTTTTAAACCGTAAATATTTCTTTTCTTGGCAAAATTTGTTGCAGTTGCCTTGTTATAAACCAATGTTTTTAGTGTATAATGTTTCTGCTATGGGCACAATGTTTGCGACACGTGTTTAAACTTCCTGTTTACAAAATGGCAGATGCTAACAATGGAAAGAAGTCACAATAAACAAGTGCTCAGAACATCCCATGCCTTTTTTTTAATTATTTTACTCATATCATACTGCTACTAACACTCAGGTTTGATAGGAAAATGTTTAAATCTTTTGAATAAGATGAAGGCGTTCAAAATCGAATAACTATAAGTGCCTAGCCTCAGAAGTGCCTTCTGTCAAAAAATCCAGCAGGCAAACACCACTCTTTCATCTGTCAAATTTTGCTAGGAGTTGGGGCTTAATTACATCCCTGCCTGAGCAATTTGCTTGTTTTCCATGACCTTGCTTTTTGTTTCATTTTTATTATCATTTGAACACAAGAGTCCCATTTAGTGGAGTACTGACAGAAAAGATATCAAAGCAAATAACATACTCACAAGGATGAGCTGCCATCACCCCTGGAACATAGATGTCTGCCCCCCTTAGTATAGCTGCCCCACAGTTGGAATCAACAATAATCTCCTTTGCAACTGGCAAAAGATCAGTATCTGGGCCAAATCCATGGATTAACAACACATCTTTTAATTGGTCATGCTGGATCACTTTAAAATGATGATGTCTTCCTTCCTTCAATCAAAGAGCAATTAAATCATTATGGCACAACATATATTTTGAGAGGTTCCAGATCTTGTTTATTTTTTTGTTGTCAATTTGAATGATCCTTTATTAACATAAGTTACATTTAAGTTCACACAGCAACCAGGTGGACAATCAGACATGGTGTGATGCTAGTCTGGTTTGACGATTTAATGAATGTAACCGAAATTACGATTTATCGACCCAACGTTTCGACACTCCCGTCTAGTGAAAGGGGAAAGGGAAAGGGAATGATTTGATACCTTAATAGTAGCATAGGCTGAATTGCTAAGGGCTACAGGTTGAGATCGGACATCAGCATTATCAGGCGCCTCTGGCAGCCGCTTTAGTTCATGTAACAACCTCACCTTTTCCCCCCACGCATCCCATCCCAGGGGAGGACAACCATCACACAGTAATCTCGTGTGTGGGAAATTAACGTCTCCTACCCCTAACCCTGCAGGAGACGGGACCTCCATTTATTCGTCCTTATCCGAGAAGACTAGAATATCTATCCATTTCATTGATGTTATAGAAGGGTAGCAAATTCTCCTCGGTTATTTTAAGACCATGAGTATTGCTCCAGCTGGGGCTCGAACCCTCGACCTCAGGCACAACACAATCCGGTGCTCTAACCAATTGAGCTAACCAGGAGGCGGTCAGTGAATTGAAGGCACTAGACAGGAATGTCAAAACATTGGGTCAGTGAATTGCTAATTGAGCTATATTCATTACATCTTTAAACCAGAGTGGCATCAAACCAAGCCTTTAGTAACAAGTTGTACCTCAAGTCATTCAAAGATTGAAATAAACATGAACCCTTTCACTCCCACAAGTTACAAAGACAGAATTTCCTCTTATAATATTAATGTATGATCTGGCAAGCAAGAGACAAGAATAAAGATAAAAAATTAGGGGATTAGCTGTTGATCCAGTACCAAATTCTACAAGCCAATATCATAAAAACTATATGTCAGAAACGTAAGCAGAATTACTAATGAGATGTGAAAGTAAAAAGGTTGAGTTACACTTAAATAATTTGGTTTTATCAACTGTCATTTAATCTACATTTATCAAATGAGTTGATAATGTAGATTGGCTACAGTAAAGCTTTTAAAGCTGACCTTTCAAACATCAGCTCTCTAAAGCACCACAGTTTCTTGAAAAACTAACCTTTTTTATTCATTGCACATACACCAAATCAAAATAAGGCATCCAATTTGAATTGCCATTGTTCTGGACACACTAGCCTCTCACACATGTTATAATCCTTTTGTGTTTCCACGTGAAGAAGAGGCTAGTAAGTCCAAAACAATGGTAATTCAAATTGGATGCCATATTTCGATTAGGTGAATCATACTAAATTTTTTCAACTCCTGGTCAACTCAAAGAAAGTGTTTCCCAATTTTAAACCAAATCCAACACTGAAAGCAAGTAATAAATACTCATAAGGAACCAGGCCATGGCACCTCCACCATGTAGACCCTCTGTTTCCAGGTTGTATTGGAATTTGAAGGGGTATCTTTTGTCAGGGGAGGAAACAAAAGAACCATAAAGAGATACAGCAAAGCAAGTTTAAATGTGAATGCGACATCAGGTTCTCATCAATGTTCCATCCCAGCTTTAGGAAAGTCAAATCCTTTGTCCCACCCACCATCACTGTTCTAGTTGTCATTGACCCTAACTGAAAATAAGTAATTACATTCGTCTACACTTTCTCTTACACAACAACACCATACTTCATCTAAACCATTGTTGCAAAAGGATTTTTTTAGAATTTATGGAAAAAATAATCAGGGGACTAGCTTCCTAAATAGACTTTGCTTTCACATGTACCTTCTTCAAAATTTTCTGTAATTCCTGCTGTGCATCATTAATTGTTGTCTTCAGACTATTAACCCTCACAATGGTGTACAAAGGTGGAGTAACAAGTGCCTTCAATAGCTCATCAAATCCAGTTGTACTATCACTAAGGTCATGCTCCTGTCTTAACAAAAGAAATTTACCTTGAAGCATTTTATTTAGGATTTGTTGTTGGTCCATGTCTTAGAAAAGTAGAGGGTGTTAGGTATCACGTGCAGTCAGTAAAAGTTAACTCTTTGCATCAGTATGCATATTCTCCATACTGAGTTTCACACTGGGGGAGGGGAAGGCTCTGAATGCCAAATATTGCAAAAAAAAAAATCACCAAATAACACAATACTTCAATAATGTGTCTAAACTCAATGTCATGGCAAAAGCACTTGTCTGTCTGTTATATTTGTATAGGTTATCACATGATTTCGAGTGCAATTTGGAATAAATAAGCACAAGTAAATTTTTTCAAAGGCTAACAAACTTGCATGAGCCCGTAGGGCGAGTGCAATTTGTGGTCTTTGAAAAAATTTACAAGTGCTTATTTATTCCAAATTGCACGAAAAAATGTGATTATGTATTAATAATATACATGAAAAAATACGAGGTAGCTTCTCACAACTACGCAGAAGAAAAGCACACACATCACGTGCAAAAATAACTTATTGAAACCCTGCAAGTGACCTTGACATTGACCAATCAGAATGTTTGGTTTGTTTCTTTCTTTGCACTGAATTAACCCTCTTCTGCACTGAATTAACTCTCTTCTGCACTGAATTAACTGAAAACTGCATTCATCTTAACCAATAAGAACTGAGAAATTTTTTCATGTATATTATTAAGCACAAAAAAACACAGAAACAGTTAAGAATTTGTCAATGAACCTTTCATCAGGTAATTGTCAATTTCAGTCTGTTATCAAAACAATCGGAAACTGGAAAAGGTATGGAAAATGTAGGAGGACTTGAAGGTCACCTTTTAATACCACCCAAGATGCTAAAAAAACACATCCTGCAGGTTCAGAGAATACTGCAAATTACCCAAATACCACAAGAAAATTGTCCATTACCGCTATACTGCTAACCCCAATGTCGTCCTCCACACTGTTTTCTGTACATTTTCTAAGGGGCTGACAAGGAGACTATGCTTAACAATCACAAGTTTCTTAAGTTGGTGATCATTTCCTTTCTTCTCGTGACCTTGATGTGTGATTCAGGGTGATATTGTAAGGAGAAATTAGATGCTAGTCACTCTTACTGGTCGAAAGGTTGATAATTAAGTGGCAAAGTTGACCCCATGTCTTAGGGAGCGTACAAAACTCAACCTCGCAAAATTTTAAAAAATTACATTAAGTCTGGCAACTCACTGAAGAAAGAACGGGGATGGGTACATGAAGTTAACTGGGGTGACCAAGACCCTCTCCAACAAATCGATTGATGAGGATAAAGCAACAGCAGAGAAACTCCCAGCAAGCAACCAAAAAAATAGACACCACGCTGCAAATAATATCCCTAGCATTACATCTCTGTAAGATAACATACATACACCTGATAATTGAAAACGTTTTGTTTCGCCGGTGAAGCACTCCATCAGGATCGTCTCAACGCTGGCCAAGACTACCATATAAATAGTAAATCACTTCTGATTCCCTCTAAATTACTATACCTAGAGGAAGATTAACACACCATCAATTACCTTGGAAATACACAGGGAATTTCTCAAATAGTCTTCAACTTCTGGGACTGAGAAGGTCAGCTTTGTAACACCGTAAGGCATCCTAGATGGCCGCCATGTTTTCTTGATTAGTGCCCAGGTTTCAACGACCGACCCTTCGTCCCTTTACCCTCCCCCAAGAATATTTCCTATATCTTTCTGTTGATCTTTTTAAACATACACGTGTTATATAACGCTCGTTTTTAAATGAAAATTATACCCTTCTTGCACTTATTGATGAGGTTAGGGGGGCTATTTCTCACAACAAAGTCTATAGAGTCTCTATGGCTGAGTGGTATAGTAGAGCATCAGAGCGCGGAATCCAAAGGTCGAGGTGCGATTCCTCCTGGCGACCCTCCTGGGGACCCCCTGGGGATCCTCCTGGATTTGACCCGTAGTTACTAAAACAAGGAATGGCCCACAATGACCTACAATGGCCTACAATGACCTACAATGGGCTACAATGACCTACAATAAGCTATAATGACCTACAATGAGCTACTGTAAGATCCCTGTAATGAAGGAAATGAGGATTTTAGAAAAAAGGCAAAGAAAAACAAAAACAGGAGACATATGTGCATTAACGTAACGTGTTTGCTTTTTGTCTACTGAATAACAGGCCAAATGATAACAGAATTTCTAGCTTGGAGATAAATTTACGGTGTATTATAATGAGACATGTATAATGACGATAATGAGATACAATGAATATATGAAGTTCATATATTTTGAACTGCGGTATTAGATACGTATGATGCACGATCCTCGCAGTAGATAGCGCTATTTATGCAATAGCGAAAATCAGACCTGAAAAAAATCAGGCCTGTACGGGACTCGAACCACTGACCTCTGCGATACTAGTGCAGCGCTCTACCAATTGAGCTAACAAGCCAACTGGGAGCAGGCCGTTAAGTTGATTCGTAATAAACCCGTGAAAGTGATAAATGAGATACAATGAATATATGAAGTTCATATATTTTGAACTGCGGTATTAGATACGTATGATGCACGATCCTCGCAGTAGATAGCGCTATTTATGCAATAGCGAAAAACAGGCCTGATTTTTTTCCTCACAAGATCAATACAATATCAAGCAGGCAGGTGGTGAGAATAAACAAAGTATATAAATTAGGGATTATCAGATGATCCAATACCGAATTCTCTAATTCTCATCATAAGAATTGTATGGCAGATAATAGTGGAAGTTACAGAC